GGGGCTTTTGACGATGCGGGTTTAAATCTGGATCAAAATATTCCTCATGGTAGTACTTCGGTTGGCTAAATACGCCAAATGTTTTCAGTGCAGGCTGAAGAAGTGGGTCCGAAGATGGCTGCACTCGTCTCATGTTCCTTGCCACGAACTTGGCAACGTGTTTTGAAATAAAAATCAATACCTTTTTCTATGGAATGCAATTGTCTAAATTTGTGAATCAGTAATTAAATAAAGAACATATATTATACTCGCAAGTAAGTTAATCGAATTATGTATTGATTGCTATTCAATTAATTCTGAGGGTATATGTTACAAATATTGTTAAAATATGTTTTTTTTATTGGCATTCTAGGAGGGGAAAAGATAAACCCAAGCTTGTTTTGCGACTATTTTTATTTAAGCTGCAGTGAAATGAACGTAAATTCTTATTTTAAGATTATTTCAGTGTTTTTATTCTTAGGGAGCGTTGCGGACTTTGAAGTTTCCTTTATGGGTTAATCATAATAAATGAAAGCTTCATGCGAAGTGCTGCAGTAAATTGAGTGCATGCTCATTTCATGTAACTAGTATAAATAATAAAAATATTTTATCGACCTGACAAGATAAATTTGCTCTAAAAAATTCTTAGTCATCTATTGATACACAATATACGTATCATATGGATTTATTTATATATAAAGAATTTCCACGTCAGTAAGCTTATTATCTCCCAGCTAATCAGAAATAAGAAATTCTTTATTTGAAAATTTAAATGTAGAAGTTAAGTTTTAATGCTTTTGGTGCCCTATTTAGCAAAAGCTATTGCGTAGCAATATTTTTAATTATTTAGCAAAATCATGCAAGTGTGATAATAAACTTTGAAACTCAAATATATAATTCTTCTAAACAAAGAAATATATGCAAAAAAACTATTTTGGGGTTAATAAATGATATTAATTTTATGACTTTTCATAATTTAATTTGTCCTTGCTAAATCCGTAAGGCTTCAGCCCGGTTCGTTACTAACCCGGCAAACCGGAACTGATCGCAGCTTTTCTTTCAAATGTGGGTATTTGGTGGTGGCGATGCTGCTCAAAAGACCAACATTGAGGAGGCGAATAAACATCTCTCTGCTATGGCTAAAAGAATCGAAGAGTTGGAAAAGATAGTAGAAGATCAGAAAAAGGAATTGGCCGAAAAAGAGGAACTTTCCGCTCAGTGTATAAAAGTAATTTAATGCTTATTTCATGACAAACCCCATAAGTCTGTAATTTATACATTCAAAACGACTAATTCTCTTTATTTTTGCTGAATTCGTCAATTATAAGTCATTTTAGACTTTTGCTTCTTGATATTTTACTAAATTCTTCTGCTTTAATTGGTCAGTGCTTTAGCTTTAAATATTATTTATTCAATTAAAAAAATTAATTTATGGTTGATATTTATTTACCTTCATTTACGGTTGCTTTATATGCCTAGCATTTTCCTATTATTTTGTAAATACTTTGCTCGCAACTCGCTTTTTTCACTTTAAGTTTGTGTAAAATGCATACTTTACTCAGATGGAGTTTTTAATGGTTGATTAGTTTGGCCTTTCATATTTTAGCAATTTCTGTTTAAAATAAGGATTTCCGTACGACACTGAAGTGGATTTATAAACTTTTAAACTTATGTACGCTTACAATTTTTATTTCGCTCTCATTTCTCGCTCTAGTTTTCTATGATAAGTGATCTTCTTGCGTCATATTATAATGAAAACTTAAAACTTCTCCCTTTGCTCTTCCTATTATTATTTATTTTGAATTTTGGATAGTTGATAGAATTTGTCGTTAATATGTCCTTCGCCAAACCCTTGTTTCTGTGGTCTTAATTTTCTTCTACTGAAGTGATTTCAGTAACTATATTTGTTTACTTACAGCAATATACAGACAACCACTATGCAGAAGTGGGAAATCTAAATGCCAAGATCAAGGATCAGGCTTCCACAATCCGAACTCTCCAAGGTGATCTCAAACGTCGGGATACCGAATTAAACGTTCTTCGTCAGCGAGCTCGTATGCTGGACGAAGTGATGCGTTATAAGGCTAGTCTCGCCAAACTAACAATCACCCTGGAACAAGCAGAACAGTATTCCCGTTCACTCGCTGGTAGGGTCGGCCTCAACGATCAACGGTTTGCAGTTAGTAACAATAATGTGGCTGTCTTTACAGATCCCGCTCCTAGACTTGAGGAGCAGTCATCTTCTAGACCGCCGTATTACCTTGTCGATGAAATGCCAGACGATGAACTGGTCAATAAAGTCGGTGAATCCTACGTTAATGGAGAAAAACGAAATGCCGCCAAGGAAAATGGCAAACCAACGTTGGCAGAAATGGCCAAACCCAAATTGATTCCTTAGGGATTAGAATCGCTCATATCATAGTGGCTGTTTGAGTTTAACTTCTTACACCTGTTGTATTTTCCTCTTGTTTTTTTTGCTTTTCTTTTTTAAAGGTATTTTCTTTATAACTTTTTTTGTGTATAGTGAATTGCACATAATAAATAATTAATGAGATGCTTTTATATTTGTGTCGTGCGGTGGTCTTGTGTTTGTTAAACTATGGATTCTAATTTTAACTAATTGAGAAATGTATTAGATCAGTAATCAATAAAATTTTGAAGGGCGATTTGAATATCTTTTTGAACTTGAATGCGTAATTTAAATTCCTTATATATTACAAAATATCGCCTTTATCCAATTTGACGCCATTATAAGAATATTTGTAAACAAAATATGTCAATTTGTTACTTCTCGTCTATCTTAACTTGAACAAGCTTAAAAGTCACGTAAACACGCTGGTTAAATCTGCTCTTTTAAAGTGCTATTTTGCACTCATTAATGAATTTTTTTCTTTTTTTTTGCTCAAAATCAAGAGAATGGATATAACATTCGAAAGTAATTCTCTTCACTTACCCCATGTAATTCCATATTTATAGCTTAATTAACAAAGATACGCGTTTTAATGTTCAAATTGATTGACAAAAAACAACATTTGTTTATTAATTTGCTTATTTTAAAGCCTTTAAAACTCTCTGATAACTATCAAGGAGTCTGCTGCAACACTTTTAACTTCATTCATGAACAATGCTAACTGGACGGTGTAAAGTTCAATGACCAAGAGACAAATTGAAGCATTCTGTTGAAATGCAAACATGGGCTCTCCCTAAAACAAAATTAGGATATGTGGGGTGTGCGATAGACTTACCTCCACGTGGTGCACCCTGGGCAACGTATACTCATGCGGCAATAAAGTCTATTAATCGGCAGTTGACTTCTCACTTCAAACAACTATCACCCCCACTGTATGTCATATTCGACCCCTACCACTACTCATCTTACCCTTTCTGAGCCTTTGTGTCTGTTTCTTTTACATCTTTGAAACACCCTTCTATTCCCCCTCCTGAATTCTTCTCACTTTGATGTTCCTCCTCCCCTCTGTGAAGACCGAAGTCAACTAAAGGGCTAATGATAACTATCAAAACGCCTGCCATTTGTTATAAATAAATAAATACATTAGGATATGTCAATGTGAATTATACCACTCATAAAAGTGACAATTCAGGCTTCTTTCCTAATTCAAAGGGTCTTGTTGCTTTTGACATCGGTAAGTACTTTCATCCGTTTCATTTTAACTGCACTTGTTGGAACCATTTCGCCATGTCCGATGCATGAGCAGCAATACTAGGGTCATCCATTCAACGCTGTCTTACAATTCTAACTGGTTGAATTTCAATGTGGTTTTTGGTCTGTTTCCACTACGCCAGTAATACGAATCAGTATATAACTCATATAATAGCCACTAATTATTAATTAATTAATTAATTGCTTTAAGACTCAGAAGGAGAGTAGTAATAATGTTTGAACCGAAAATTATTTACGATATCCGCATCCTGATGAAACATGAAATCAAACAATTCAACTTGATCTTAATATACACAATTAAATAAATTGGTATTATTTTCTTTCAAATATAGACCGTAAGTCCAAGCTCATTGTGATCTGCGCTTTAATAAAATATAATATAAATTGGTCCCTTAAGTTGACTTCGGTCTTCACAGAGGTGAGGAACATCAAAGCAACAGAAAGTCGAGGAGTGGGGGACAGAAGAGTGATTCGCAGATGTAAAAGAGACAGACACACACGAAAGCAGAGAAAAGGTAAAATGAGTACTGTGAAAGCGATCGAGTATGACATAAAGTGGGGTCATGGTAGTTTGAAGTCAGTAATCAACTGCTGGTTTATGAACTTTTTGCTGTATGGCTAAATGTTGCCCAAGATGCACCACATAAACTTTTTGAATGAAGCAAATAGGATATCAAGAAGGTCAATTGTTTAAGCAATGGCTAGAGAGATTGGTCCTATATGAGATAACGTTAAGATTCGCATTCAGATGTCCCATTTCAGGGAGTGTGCGATAGACTTACCTCCACGTGGTGCACCCTGGGCAACATATACTCATACGGGAAAAAATCAATCAATCGGTAGTTGACTTCTCTCTACAAACTACCATCACCCCACTGTATGTTATATTCGACCACTCCCACAGTACTCAGCTCACCTTTTTCACTCTTCCTTTGTGTCTGTCTCTCTTACATATTTGAAACAATCTTCAATTCCCCCACCCCTCTGGACTTTTTTTCACTTTGATGTTCCTTCCCCTCTCAGTGAAGCCTGAAATCAACTACGGGGCTAATGATAACTATCAAAACGCCTTCCATTCTTTGTCAGAGATTGGATATGGAATTTCCCAACTGAAGACACCAAGCTGACACTTCACAGTTCCTGGCTCTGAAAGGGTATAATAAGAAATTCTACCTCCAGGAAGAAGTAAAAAGAACCTTGCGACCTTGCACTATCGGAGAATAGTTCCGTCATGTTGAAAACACCACAATTTAGTCCATACGCCGGCATAGTCATTTAGTTGAATGGGTAA